GTCTTCCTAAATGTTTGTTTCTGCTTTTCTTTAAAGATTTAACACTATTTAACTTCTAATAGTCCCAGTTCAATTAAAATTTAAAGCTGACTTTGGAGTTGGAGAATGGCTCTCTCCTTCTTTAAACTCAAGCATGTTGTTAAAAGGAAAATGCAAACTCCCTGTATCATGCCAGAGGAAAAGAGCCATCTTCTGCTATGGGACAGGAGAAAAGCCAAATTAATTAAGGGACTATTCTATTACGAATCTCAACTCTTTGATTCTATTCTGATTCTTTAAACTTTTCTTAAAGTATGAATTTTATATCAAAATTTACAAGATCAATATATATAGATATATATACATTTTAAACTTTGTTAAGATATAAATGGTCATATAGAGTACTAACTAATTCTAAAAAGTCGCATATATAGTCTTTGTGTTCGAGTCTCTTATCAGTTTTTTGCAGGAAATCACGGTTAGGCCTAACATCAACTGAAGTCTCCAGGAAGAAGATGGGGCCCCACAACAACAACAATTCCACGTGGACAATAATAACATCACTAAGCTGACAAACATCATCTACAGATCAGCTTTGAACTACAAAGTGCTCAGAGCAATTTTGAGAAGAGCTAGCTGAGATGATCCAGTCTCAAAGACTACTTGAATAAGGATTTGAGATAAACCCTGAATTTTGGCATTATACACAGACTGGATAACGAAGGATATATTTACCTTTCCTAGAATTTGACAATTAACATAAAATTTTTCTTTCAGGATAAAGATACCTTCGCCCATACCCAGCAGGAAGCAATTTCAAGAATACGACGCCCACATTCCCAAAGAGGTGGTGTGGGGCGGTTGGTTTTTTTGGTCTTTTAATGGGTTTTGGGTCTGGGATAATTTTCATTGATTAGGGGGGTTGGTTACAAGTTGTTGTCAAGGGTTAGGAAAAAGGCTAAGCAAAGGAGATTAGATTTAAGGTTCTTATTAAAAAAAAAAAGAAAGAAAGAAAAGAAAAATGTAAATACTTTACATTGGATTGGATTGTTTTATATTGTATACAAATTATATATATTGAAATTGATATTGTTAGAAAATGTTATATATATTTTTCTAATTGTACCGTTCATCTAACAATGTAATGCAATTTTCTGATCCTTGAATGTTATTACCAATTATTAGGATATAAAGAAATGAAAGTTAGTAGTTAGATATTATAATAGAACTTGTAGTTATATTAGGTATGTTTTCAAGATTGAGTAGATATATTTTTAGATAGACAGGTTATCTTCAGACCCTTCAGAGATCTACAGAATATGGCATTTAAAATGTTTTAATAACTTAGAAAATTTTTCTTTTTTGTTATGACCATGAGACATGTCGGCTCCTGGCAGTACCAATCTACTTCAGAGAAAAAAATGGGCATTGAAGAAACTGCATATGGAGTTAACTTTCATTGTGGCAAAAGTTAGCCACTGGACAACAAAGTATCCTCGAATCAACAGGACAAAATGGACAGACAGGACATAAAACAAAGGATTACTGATTCTTGCCAAAACAAGTGTGGTTATGGCTTTATCAAAAGGCATCTTCAGAGGCCAGGACAATATGGCACCATCCCTGAAGTGGCCTTTGCAATTCGAAAAAGGTACAGTGCCCTTTTCTTCGAAGGCAGCTGAACAGGCAGTGGGCCGATGGCCTCTGATGTGCAATGGAACAGCAGCTGAAACAGTTATTCTTGAAGAGTAACTAAGCTCACGCCTCTCAATAGTAGTCTGGCATTTGATGGAGGGATATGGAGAAGAATGGGATGCTGAGATGAAGCCATATATACACAGCCAAGAAGAATGGACAGCTGAATTAAAAAACCATCAACAATTTCCAGAATTTAAAATCCTGAATCATGACATGACACTAGTGGAATTCAGGTGTTTCTGGTACATGGACTGCTCTCACTCAATGTGAGGTTGAACTGTTGACCTTGTGTACATCGTACTTCACAAATGAGTCTGTCAGATATGCTAAGCCTATAGGCTGAAGATGATGCCCCAGCACTTCGGAGAAACCTCAGGTGACTGTCCAGACAGCTGTCTGTTTCTGTCAACTCACAAATTTTTTGGAAGTTGCTTATGTGCACTTCCTGTTTTTATTTTTGTTAGCTAATATTATTTCCTTCTTGGGTCTCTGAGGGAGTTGAAGATTAGTTAGTTATAGTTGAAGTTTAGTTAGTTATAGTTGAAGATTAATTAGGATACATTTTGGACTTACCAAAATAGGATAGATAATGAAATTATTTTCTCTGAATTTGTCAAATACAAATGGACTAGACATTGTTTAGGTATTTATTACTTGTATATATTGTATATAGTTATTGTACTTTTGTATATAGTTTTTCTTATATTAGTTATAAGCTTTTTCTTTTTTTTTCCTTTTTATTAAAATAGAAAAGGGGAAATATGGTGATATTTTATTTGAATTAAAATATTATTTGGCCGGGCGGTGGTGGCGCACGCCTTTAATCCCAGCACTCGGGAGGCAGAGCCAGGCGGATCTCTGTGAGTTCGAGGCCAGCCTGGGCTACCAAGTGAGTCCCAGGACAGGCGCAAAGCTACACAGAGAAACCCTGTCTCGAAAAACCAAAAAAAAAAAAAAAAAAAAAAAAAAAAAAAAAATATTATTTGTATGTTAATAAATAAAGTTGCCCGGGGGTCAGAGCTATTAGCAAGCCATAGGAAAGCAGGGCAGTGGTAGCGTACGCTTGTAATTCCAGCACTTGGTAGGCAGAGCTGGGTAAGTCTCTGTGTGTTCAGGGATACAGCCATTATTGGATACACATGCTTTTAATCTTAATACCAATCATGGAAAACCTGGAGGCCTATACAGACAGGCTGTGAGGAGGCGGTCATGTGGTTGGGTTTACAACCAATGAGAAGGCAGGACAGGAACTCTATATAAAGACTTTAACACAGGGGTAGCTCTGGTTTGGAGAGGTAGGACCACCGCAGGAGGAAGGGTAAGGTTTTAGCTCTTAGCTCTGACCTCTTGGCTTTCTTCTTTGCATTGGTTCTGTGTTTATTATTTAATAAGAAGGTTGGATACATCTACAATCTTGTGGGCCCTGACTTTCTTAAGCCACAAATATTTCAGTTCATAAGCAGAGCATATGTAATTATGTAATTTACGTATTTCATAACATTACCAATATGTCTGTTCTTGCTTGCTCGCTGCCTCTTTGAAAAGATACCTCAGTTCATTTTTAAGGGTATTTATTTATTTATTTACTTATTTATTTTTATGTGTATGACTGTTTTCCTTGCATGTATGTCTACATCCTATGTGCAAGCAGATCTCCTGAGACTGTAGTTACAGATGGTTGTGAGGTACCATGTGGGTGTTGGGAACTGAACTTGGGTCCTCTGCAAGAGCAGCCAGTGCTCTTTACTACTGAACCATTTCTCTGACTTCTTGCATAATTTTTAAATTGGCTTAATAGTTAAGAATCCATAAGAGAATTTACTGTTTTTTAAAGAAAGAATGAAGCACTATTCTTTATTATTTGTGCCTCATAAATTCTCAACAAGAAAATGTAAAAACTGTTCCAGACAATGTTAAGTCATCCCTGGAAGGTCATAATAGGGCCATAGGACAGGAATAATATTCTTACCATACAAGACAGTAAGGAGCAGAGTTCTAAACTGGATGCTGGGGCTCCTGAGTTTAACTAGAGCAGCATGATTCAGAAAAAGTGTTTCTTTTATGCTAACAAACACAATTCAGCAATGTGGAAACCCTAGTCATCTTACTCTCTTCAATATATGGTTTACCAAACTTAAAATGCACAAGAATAAAAGTATGATTCATTTCCTTTTGGGAAAATACACCCATGGGAGGCCTGCTCCTTTCTGAATGGAGATGAAGGAATAGATGGAGAGGGGGGTAGATGGGAGGCAGGGGTGGTGGGGAGGGAACGGGAAGAGAGGAGGCCAAGGAAACTGTGTTTGGTATGTAAAATAAATGAAAAAAAGTTAAATAAAATACAATTTAAAAAAAGATTATACGTGAAAAGAAAAAAAGCAAGATCTCACTCTCTGCCCCCTGCTGGCCTGGCACTTGCTACATGTAGCCCAGGAGGGACGCAAACTTGTGATCTTCCTGACTCAGTCTCCCCAGGAGTAGGATTTCAGGCACTACCATCAGGCCTGGATCATTTTTCAAAGAGGCAACATCTCTGCCTTGAAGACTCACGCTATGGCTTGGCATCATGGAAACTTGCTTTCCTTCCTATGTTTAATGGTGCTCTGTGAGGTCAGTTATATCTATTTTTCAAAGAGCAGCATCTAATCTAATACATTTGAGTGTTTGAGTGTTTGCTTGAATTAATGGAAAAATATCCTTTTAGCCCAAGTTCTTCTAATTGCGTGAGAAAAGTCTACAATAGTCAAAAATGAGAGAGACTTGCTATTTGGATTGCCTAGAATGAGCAAGAGCATCCATTTAAAGGGCAGTATTCCTTCAAAAACTGCCATTTGCTCCATATAGCAGCAAATGTGTATCAGGTAGTCCTGGAGCCTGCCTCAAACACTCTCCAGGAGAGATGCTGAGATTTCTCTGCATTTTGCAATTTTCCCCAAGAGAACAAACCAGCAAGTATTTAATATTTTGGTTGCTGTACCAAATGAAAACAAAGAAAAAAAATGAAAGTAAATTATACATAGAAAATCATGCTTTCTTCTCTTTTGAGAAATGAATCTCCTGGGAAAATCTTCCAGCCTTCAGGATGAGAGTGATCCTCACAGTGGCCCTCCAGAAATCTGCTGGCGACACAGTGAAAGCTAGAACAGCAAGCCCACTCCATACTCAGATTGCTTTAGATGCAAGAGCAAGCACTTAAGGGTAGCTTTTCCAAAGTACATGCAATATGCAGAACGTGGGCCTCTCACAACTCCCATTGTCTAGTGGCTCACGGCTCCTTTCGCCATCCAGTAAGTGTCATCTGTGACGAGCTAGAACAAAATTACCCCTTCACGAAGCTGTCAGAAGTGCCTCCCGATTTCACTGCTGTCAGATTCTTCGCATCTTTGATGAACACTTCAAGTATTCCACCAGAGATGACAGGTGACTCTTTCTTCTTTCCCTTTTTAAAGGTCTTCTTTCCTGCACGATCCAGCAGAGAGGAGGTGGAAGGGATCAGTAATTCCACTTCACAATTTACAGAGAACATCTACAATTACTTCATTTTCTGGTAATCAAGCTTTTTTGTATATATTATATCACACACACACACACACACACACACACACACACACACACATGTTCATGCATAGACACACAAAGCTTCTGGAAAGGAAAGATGTAAAGCTTCTAAAGGAATAAAATGGATCCTGCCTGGACCACTAACCTGGTTTTTTTTTTTGTTTGTTTGTTTTGTATTGTTTTTCAAGACAGGGTTTCTCTGTGTAGTTTTGGTGCCTGTCCTGGAACTCACTTTGTAGACCAGGCTGGCCTCGAACTCACAGAGATCCATCTGGCTCTGCCTCCCAAGTGCTGGGATTAAAGGCATGCGCCACCACCGCCCAGCACCATCCTGTTCTTACTGAGAAAGAGCTAAGGTGAAAGCCAGACCCAAGCACCAGAGCTCCAGGAGAGACATTTCTACAGCTTGGATATTTTAAACTGACTTCCAAAGGGTATATTCAATAACTCCCTTTTGATAAATTGTCAGCTTCAGACAGGGTCAGTTCTAGAGGGTACAGCCTAGATTCAGTTACATTTTGTGGTTGGGAGAAAACTTTTTCAACTTCAATATTTATTCTGATGTAATAGGTTCAACATGAGTAATAATCATTCATGACTGGACCTTTATTTAATACTCTTTGACGTACCTTACATATATGAACCTATTTAATCCTCACAATGCTTTTGCTTTTTTAATTATTTTCCCTTTTTTCTGAGATTATAATGTAATTATAATTATATAATTATAATAATCTTCCTCCAAACTCTCCCATGTATCACTCCTTGCTCTCTTTCAAATTCATGGTCTCTTTTTTCATTGGCTGTTATTACATGCATATATGTACATACATATATATTCCTAACTATAACCTGCTCAGTCTGAATAATGTTTCTTGTATGTATGTTTTTAGGGATGACCATATGGTATTGCCATGAATGGGAAAATAAAGGAAGCTGCCTAGAAGATAATGAAAGGAGGAAGAAAAGAGAAATTTCAAATTGATTTTATCTGAATTTTCCCTTTGTTTTCTATGTTTTATGCCAGATATTGCTTCTCTAGACTTCCCGAGTAGCTGTTAATGAGTCCATAGAGCAGCTTTCTAGAAACCCTCATACAGCACATCTCTTCCACATTGGGGAGATTCTGTATCTCTTGGACTGACAGGAAATAATCTCCCATCAGGGTTGGTTTCTAAGTATGGATTTTTGTCCTCTACTTTTCTTCTCTACATACATTAGCATGTACTTCTCAACTCCCCAAAGACCCCGATCCTATTATATTATTGTACTGGAAAAGTAACACAGTCCAACCAAACCCTAATATCTACTCACACAATAGAAAGAGAATGTCGCTGATCATATCTATTGATTTTAACCCTACCTTGAGGTTGTCCTACTGGGAATATAGGGTTCTCCTCTGGAGGAATGTAACGTAAAACAACCGTTAGCTCTCCTTTGTATTGAAGGCCTATATCAGGAGCCAACTCCACCTAGACAAGGGAAGATAAGTGAAAAGAAAGTTAAAATACTGGATATCATCTTCTTAAATGAAATACAGCATATTCAGAAAGGCAAATATTTCATGTTTTCTCTTACATTTGGAATATAGGAAATCTATATTTCCTCAGATATTATTTCCCTAAGAGACCTCACTCCTCTATGGGGAGGACCCCAGGTTAGATTCCTAGCAATAGTGAATAAGTAGCCTGAACTGGCCATCTTCTGTGACCAGATTGGTGCCTGGCCCAATTGTCATCAGAGAGGCATCACCCAGCAACTGATGGAGGCAGATGCAGAGACGCACAGCCAAACATTAGGTAGAGTTCAGGAATTCTGCGGAGGAGGGGGAAAAAGGATTGTAGGAACCAGAGGGGTCAAGGACATCATAAGAAAACCCACAGAATCAACTAACCTGGGCTCATAGGAGCTCACAAAGACTGAACCAACAACCAGAGAGCCTGCATGGGGCTGACCTAGGCACTCTACACATATGTTACAGTTATGTAGGTTGGCCCTCTTACGGGACTTCTAACAGTGGGAACAGAGGCTGTCTTTGACTCTTTTACTGGCTTTTGGGAACCAAGTCCTCCATACTGGGTTGCCTTGTCCAGCCTTAATACATGGGGAGGTGCTTAGTCTTACTGCAACTTGATATGCCAAGTTTTATTGATACTCATAGGAGACCCGCCCTTTCCTGATGGAGACAGAAGAAGAAGGGACTGGGGACTGAGAGTGGAGGAGTGGGGGGAGGAACTGGGAGGGGAGAGTGGGGGGGGGGCTGCTTCTGGGATATAAAATGAATAGATGAATAAAAAAATTTCAAAAAAAGAGTGAGAGACAGAGAGAGACAGAGACACAGAGAGAGAGACAGAGACACACACAGAGAGAGCTGACTCCTATGCACTGAGTCAAGGGCAGAGAACTGTGCTCCTCAGAGAGCAGATGTAAAAAGCTCAGAAGCCAAACCCTCACATAGTAAAGCTAGAGACTCTTGAAATCTTAACACTCACCCACATACCCACAGACCCACACAGACCCACACAGACACACAACAGACACACAATAGACACACAGACAGACACACATGCACACGCACACACAGAAGAGATATTTGCTTGACTTTTATTTCTGTTGTAAGAGTAGCAAGTATTTTATTTAACCATACCAGAAGCAAAAATGATATAATAAGGTAAAATAGACCATTTAATACTAACTTTATTATTTTAAATAAAGTATGTGGCAAAGATTTTTCTTACTGTTCTAAAATTTTCAGTAGGGCTGAGGGTAGTACCTAGTAGTAGATCTTTTTTCCCAGCATACATGGCACTTTGAATTTGATCCCCAAATCTACCAAAAAACAAAAAATTCAGTAATTTTAGTTTATATAATGTCATAAATAAAAAATTCTAATGGACATTATAGTTGATTAAAATAGTCTCTACTTTTTTGATACTATGATCAATGGGAGGTGGGCCATTTGTCTTCTCTGGGACTGAGTAGCAGTTGTATTACATTGGTTATTGGAACATGGCAGAGGTGGCAAAGTACTTGTTTCTGGGCCCATGTCTAAAGGTTGACAGCTTCTATTTCCTTTCTTGGAATGGCTATTCATAGAATACTCCCTCTTAGAGCCCACGCTGTGAGAGTTTCAGCCCACATGTTAAAGAGATACCTAAGTGATCTAGTTTGCAGGCCTAGCTTTATCAGCCAGCATATATCAGCATCAAGTATGGGATATGGAAGCAAGCTAACTTAAACATCCAGTCCAGTCAAAGCTTCAGGTGATATCAGCTTTAGTCAACCATCTGGCTGCAACTCTATGACACCTTGACTGAGAACTACCTTGATAAGCTAATTTAACATGCAGAATTATGAGAGACAGTAATCCCAGATTTTTGTTTAAAGCCTAGAAGGTTTCCATTAATTTACTATACTGCCACAGTTAATCACAGCAGCCCTATTTGATAGTGAGTGAAATTTTTGAGTTAAGAAATAGGTTGTAGGAAAAGAGATAAGTGCAAATTTCATATACAAATACAGAGCATATTAGTACAGACTCAAACCATGCATTGTTGGGATATATTGATGTTATGTGGACTTTTAGCTAAAGGTAAAATATACTAGTGATTTTTAATAAACACAAGCCCCAGGAATTATGAAAGTATAACACAATAACAATGAGATTTTTAAGATGTTTTAATTTGGTTTCTATTGCTGTGACAACCCACATGTCCAAAGCAACTTGGAGTGGAGAGGGTTTATTTCATCTTATAGTTCATCATGAAGGGAAATCAATGCAGGAACTGAAAGCAGGCTCCTGGAGGCAGGAACTGAAGCAGAGGCCATGGAGAAAACTTACTTATTAGCTTGCTCCTTGTGCCTTATACAACTCAGGACTACCTGTCCAGGGGTGGAACTGCTCCCCATCATCTTTACTGATGCTCCACATCAATCTTTATTCAAGAAAATGCCCCACAGACTTGTCTACAGGCCAGTTTGATCGAGACAATTCTCAATTGGAGTTCTCTTTTCAGATGCCCCTAGATTGTGTGACGTTGACAAAAAAAGTAACCAGTGCATTTTATAACAAAATAATATACAAAAGATAGCTATAGTGTAGGGTCATCTTAAAGTCTGCACACACATACACACACACACACACACACACACACACACACACACACACACACACACACACACATATTGGAGTATATTTGATATTCTGGCTTGGAATTCTAAGGTAACATGTTCTGCCATACCGTCCTTTTCATTATTCAACCAATTTCTGAGCAGGAAAATGTAGAATTTCGTTCAGTTTCCTACAGGGTACTTTTGTAAGTAGTGTGGGAATGCATTAGACACAGACCCTACTTTCAATAGAGTTTAGAAGCTGCTTTAAACTACCCACATTTCTAATTCATCAGATTAATGTAGTCTATCCTTAAAATGAGCAGGATTACCTCTACAAAGACCATGTGTATTTGCTCTGATCAAGTCATGCCCACAGAGAGTCAGCAGTATGAGTCTCTAAGGTTCTAAATGACAGATACATTTGCGTGGTAATTATATAACTCAATATTACATAAATTGATTTGTGGACAAATACAGCTGTCACTATAGAAATTAGACTACTTTAGAGGAACAAATATTTGCATGCCAAGTTGTTGGTTTATGTGGCCTTAAAACTGTAGAAGATTAGAACAATTATGAATATTTAGAAAAACTTTTATTTAAAAGTGTTCTTATTCCACTTTATATCACACATTAGAAATTGTTGAAGATAATGCATTAAGAATGACATCAATAAAAGGAAAATATAGTCAAATTTTATTTGCGAAACATATATTCAAACAATATTAAATGTTTCCTACCAACATTTGTATATAAATATATATTTATTTGCTTTATACTGAAACAAATGTGTGCTACCTTGTGAAAGTAATCAAAACAATATGGTAGTAGCATAAAAATAACCAAATAGGCACATGGAACCTATTGAAGAACCCAGAAATAAATCCAGGAATTTGTGGTCAACTGATTTTCAATAAAAGTACTTTGGTGGTTTGAATAAGAATGTACTCCCATAGGCTCATATATTTGAATACTTAGTCACAAAGGAGTGACATTATTAGAAAAGGATTAGGAGGTGTGACCCTGTTGGAGGAAGTGTCACTGGGAGGTGGGCTTTGAGGTTTCAAAAGCCCATGACAGGTCTAGTCAGTGTCTCTGTCTCTCTCTCCCTCTCCCTCTCCCAACTCCCTCCCTACAGATCAGGATGTAGTTCTTAACTACTTCTCCAGCACCATGTCTGCCTGCATGCCACCATGCTCCCTGTCATGATGATAATGGACTAAACCTCTGAAACTGTAAGATGCCACCTCAACTGAATATTTTCTCTTATAACAGTTGCTGTGGTCAAAGTGTCTCTTCATAGCACTAAAACAGTGACTAAGTCAAGTACCAGCAACACACATAGACAAAGGACAATAGCTTTAATAAATAGTGCTGGACAGATTGGATGTCTACAGACAGAAGAATGAAACTAAGTACTTATCCTATAGAAGTATTATATACCATACATAAAATCAAAATAGAATGGATTAGAGATTTAACTGTAATACCTGAAATGGTAAGACAACTAGAAAATAATTTGGAAAGTGTAGGGGGTAAGTTCCATGGCATTGATTTTGTCAACCATATTTTTTGGCAGTGGGGGGATATGATCTCAAAAGTATAGGAAACAAAAGCAAAAACAGACAAATGGGATCACATCTTAAATAACTTGAGATCACAACAATTTCAATACTTCTGTATAACAAGGGAAACAATTAACAAAGTAAAGAGACAGTCTAGGTGATGTGAGAAAATAACTGCATCTGATAAGAAGAAAGTAACCAAGATACTTAGGGAACTCAAGTAACTCAATAGGAGAGCCAATAAACTTGCTAAACTTCTCAAAAGAATGCATGGAAGTGGTCAACAGACTTATGAATAGTGCTCAAAATTACTACAAAATTACTACAAAGATGACATGCACAACTGTAAAAGGAAATAATTGCACATTGTTAGTAGTAATGCAAATTAACAAATCTGTAATACAAAGTAGCATGGATGCTTCTCAAAAAAATCAAGATAAAAACTAGTACTACCGGATCATTCAGCAAACCTTTTATTGGTTATATGACCAAAGGAAAGGAACTCCATATTTCAAAAAGACTTTTGTACTCTTGTGTTCATTGCAATGCTTCCCACAATAGCTAAAAATTCTAAGCAGCCTGTGTGTATAGCAGTGGGTGAATATGTTGTTGGAAGCCAGGTATGACCAAGGCTGTGTGTGTAGAGAAGCAATAACAAAGAGTATGGAAATAAATCTCTATTTTGGATTCACTCAGAGGACTTCAAAACATGAATTCATGCCAATGACTTTACTAAGAATAGAGAAGAGAAACTAAAAGTTAAAAATGCTTAACAAGGGGCTGGAGAGATGGCT